TAATGATTAATGATTAATGATTAATGATTGATAATCCTAACCCTAACCCTAACCTAAATGACATTAAATCACAAACTAATATATGACCATGACCATATATATATATATATATATATATATATCAGAAGTAGATAATAGGGTATAGCATATGACCTCCAGAAAATCTTTTGTTTGCGATTGGTCACTGTAGATTGTGCAGTGTGAGCTTCGAGGGTGCTCATCTTTCGCAAACAAAAGATGAGCACCCTCGGAGCTCACACTGCACAATCTACAGTAAACCTACGAGCTACGTGTACAGGCATGTGCTTCATAAGCACGCCTAGTCGTACAAGAGCGATTCCGTGAGTACATATGACTCAAAGTATTGACTTCTCAGTACGGTCAGTATTGATGTGGTGCAAGGCACACCTACATACGCATACATGCTGACCGAGCTATTTAATATTACGTGGCAAATGCATATTGCACCAAACTTGTCTAAAAACTCAATAAAATAAATCAGTAATGATGGACATCCGGCAGTTCTAAGTATCCTACACAAACTGAGTGCAGAGTACTCTCTATACATTTGAAGGCTGATTATTATAAAAACATTCTTTATAATTTCAATAATTTTACAAAATCAATTTCCTCTTTTTAACCACAGCAGCCAACTGATGTCGCCAACATATTAATTCAGCTTAAAACTAATTTAGAAGGACAGGCAGTGCCTGAGGTCTCTGCTAACTCAGCTGACTGGACAAAGACAGGCCTTGGCAGTTCAACGTTCTATTACACTAGCACGTGCGCATTAAGAACCAACACCCCTGACTACAGATAATTGCGCCCAACCTGCCACAGCTGTTTCTTTCAACATAGTACAGGGAATGAACTCAGGGTCACATGATGTTTATTGGAGGTGAGCCATATCATTGCTCAACACAAATAGACTGGTTCTTTGTATGGAACATACTCTTGCTTATGCATGTGAAAAATCACCAAACCATTTAGTCATCTGCGTACATATCGCAATGTAGTGTGTATTCTTCTGTCTTTACCTGAGGGGGAGGGATGGAGAGGGGTAAGTGAGGGGAGCAATGGAGAGGGGTAAGTGAGGGGAGCAACAGAGAGGGGGAGGAAGAAAAAAGAGCGTGAGAGAAACAAGTCAAGAGTAAGAGTGAGATTGACAAGAAGAGGTAAGGGGAGGGAAAGAGGTAAGTGACAGTGAGAGAGAATAAGGTAGGGTGGTATGTACTGTAATGAGTGCATCCTAAAATTCCTTGCTGTAGAAGTCTTGTACTTATTATATTCTGCTAAATACATGTAGACTAAACATGCAGCGGCAGCAACGACCATCGCCACCCACCACTGCCCACTACCACCGCCGCCACCACCACCACCCCTACCACTATTACAAGATAAAAACAAGAATTCGAGGACTTCAGTGCACATGCAAAGGCCCAAATAAAAGTAAATCAAACTAAGTTGACTTAAATTGAGCTCTTTTTCAATAAATAAGTATACAGATACTACACACTACATACACATACAGTCACTATACTACATTATACAATAACTTTTACTCCTCATGTTTACATGCCCTGACAACGAAAATGATATAAGACAACTTAAAACTAAATGAAATATGTTAAAGCATCAGCTGGACAGTGGCATAAATAGAGCAAACAAAGCCCTTTAGCCCTTCTAAAACAAGAGCACTGAATAGTAGTAGTGAGTTGTTAATGATGCTAGAATATAGAAAGTAGAACATGTGGTACAAAACATCATTTTAGCATGGATAAAATGCATGCAATAACAATATAACTCAAAGCAGGGCAGAATGTGGGCACTCATCCGTATATCTGTGGCAATATTTAGGGTCTGTGTGACCAATCAATGGATGACCGCATTTCAATACATTTAGTCATTTGAATGGATGACCAACTTTTCCGTCACGGTATTACGGTGATGCTGCAACATTTACATAGCTGACAGTATGGTATAAAATAAAACCTGTACAGTAGTATATATAGATGCTTGACATAAACAACATGTTCACTCCTAGCTTTTTGTTGTCTTATTTCAAATAGTCAAGTTCTGGCACACTAGTGCTTTTCCATTGGCACCACCATGTTTTTCAGTCTATAGCTTCCTTCTAAAATCTAATTACCTGTGCTGCTGATTGTGAATTTGTGATTCTGCATGTTTTTTTTCCATGCTATATGCCCACAAATAGCCCATATTGCACCAATCCTAACACTTAAACTCAGTAAGTGATAAAGTATTAGGGAAAATATTCCATGTGCCATGGCAAAATATTCTAAGCTTGACAAGCCAACTCAATAATCACACACAAAATTGGACGGGACGAATGGTGAATTTAGCAAGACGACTGACTTTCAGTGGTCAGGTCAAATCTGTGTGGAAGAGTGCACCTTTTTCTAAATTCCTACCCTGTTAAAGCAACGGTATATATACATTTCACTTGCCGTAACTTTTACCAACATGGGACTAATCATCAGCAGGTGACTGACAGAGTATGAATATATGTGACTTACCACATATAGGATTAGGATTAAGCAACATAATAGTTTAGTAAGGATGTGGCAAAATTTAACCTTACCTCATGGTAGCTTCAATATTGTCTAACACAGCCTATGATATATAATATATATATATATGTAATATGTATATATATAACTCTATGGCTAACTAGTGAATCAGACCTCAACTTTACAACTATACAGATAGACATTTGACAGACTGTGACAAAATGCTGAAATGTGACAAAGAACATGAAAAGATTCAGTACTATAAAATAACACAATATGTCCACAAAAGTAAAAAAAATCTTATTTAATAAGCAATAAAGTTTTGTTACCAGACTGAATACTCAAAAAAGGTTAAGAAATTAGACCAGATGCACATGTCTGTCACACTATGCATGTACAGCAAGATGTGATTTCTAAACTATGCCTATGCGAACTGATACCAAGGATTTATACTGGTACTACTACTGGTAGTGGTACTGGTAATCGTGTGGGTTCACATATTGAGTACAGCATGCCCTACAACACTCATGTTGCAGATGTACCATGGGATTTGTACGTTATTAGTATTACAACTATAGCTGGTGCAGCGTATATAATACGGTTTAATTTAGACTCTGGGGTTTGGTTGTTTTTGTTAAATCTGACATCTCTAACACTAACACTAACACTAACAGTAACAGTAACTGTAACTCTAACACTTATTAGGGTACTACTGTCAGTACTGACTTAACTTACTTGGTAACACTAACGCTCATAGGGTCTATGTCCCCCAGGGTACTGCCGGAACGTACCCTGGGTACGGTCCGGTATACCGGAACGTACCTGGTAACTATTTGATATGATTAGGGTTAGGGTTAGGGTTAGGGAGTAGGCGTAGGCGACTCTCTAGACTCGTTAGTGGAGTAGGCGAGGTACGGTCTGGCATATTAGATAGTACCAGGGTACGTTCCGGTATACCATTCCGTACCCAGGGTACGTTCCGGCAGTACCCTAGGGGACATAGAGGCCCAAGGATAGAGAACATGGGTCCCAATAAAACCAATGTGCCTAACCCTAACCCTAACCCGAACCTATTATATTGAGATAATATTATATTTATATTGATGTAAATGACATTGGATTTATTGGGACCCATGACATGTTCTCTATCCTTGAACCGACATGGCCCCTCTCACTCTCAGTCTCAGCAACACTAACACTAACAACAGTTGAGACATCATATAACGAGATATATAATATAAAATTCAAAGCGAACACAGCTTAATACTTTACTAACCGATTCTAATTGTACGTCAAAATGGAAAACTAATCATAAAATAAAATATAACCATAAAATATATAGACAAAACATGACATAGTTAAATACGACACTGACAGAGAACAAACCTTTGTAATGAACTCGAAGGTTATTCTGTGAAAGGCCTATGAAGTTAAATTTATCTTTAACACTCCAAGATCGAGGCAACGGGGTCTCTTCTTCGTTAACTGCAGGATATAACAGTTTCAAACGATCCAGTTGAGGTTGTGTGTTTAAAAAAGTACTTGTATTTGTTGATCCGGAATCTCCGGAGGGGGACATCGCCATGTTGCTTTACTTGTATTTCTTTCCGAAGTGGCTCCATCTGTACTGCTGAATTGGAACAAAATATTTCGCATAATTTTTTTCACTACACACACTGAAGACATAGATCGGAATGTATGATCTATATTTGGTCCGATGCCCACTTTAATATGCGTCTACGACTCGCACTTTTTGTCCATTGCTTACTTAGTAATGTTAATCAATATTTTCATTAGTTCTGGAATGTGCATGCTGTCTGAGTCTGCACACTGCACACCTGCGGGTAGGGCTTCATGCAGTGCCCGTGCCGTCGTCACGTGGCAGTGGTTTCTAACTTTGGCGCATGTCAAAATATTTCAAAATGATGTAAAAATGCTCAACTGACTAGCATACTTGAATATTTTATTATATCTTCTGTCGTCATGTATAGGTATATCGCGATTTACATGCAGTAACTAATTAGCTGGGGCAAGGATGTAGCATGGTTAGTTAAGAATATGAGGCATATAGTACATCTGCGCGTGCGCAGGGGCGGCGCCACGTTTTTCAAAGTAGGGGGGCCGAGGGAGCGAAGCGAACGAGCGGGGAGGGGGGGCGTGGAGCGTCTAGGCGAGAGAGCGAAGCGACCGAGCGGGGGGAGTCCCCCCTCCCACAGCAGGGAGCTTTTGCAATTTTTGCACTAAAATGGAGCGATCTGGTGCACATCGAAGGTGAAAATTTCAAATTTTTAAATGGAAGAAAAACGGAAATAACACCTTTTCAGTACATGCATGTCTATGCATGTACATGTCAACTATAGTGAAGTATATAATTTGCATCAATATGAATACATGTAATAGGAATAAAGAATATGAAATAGTGAATCTTTTTCAGGGCGTACAGAATTTTTCATTTTCTTCAACCTGGTAATAGTCAAAAAATAACATTGCTGAATGATATAAACACGTACTTTTATAACATTACTCGACTAGCTTTTATCTTTAGTTTATCTTCATGTTGCTG